CACTCCAAGTGTGCACGCCAATCTACACGATGAGATACAGATGCCTGGCGGTTCGACATGTGAGCATAAGCAAATGGGACAGCGTGACCTAGAGGTGGGCCCCAGGCCACTCTGGCAGCCTAGCTAATGAGTGAAATTCTATCATGCCTTCGCCTGCGCAATATGGAAGCCATTTTAGACTTTTTTGCCGTCTGTTGGCGGACATCGGCTAGAGTTCTGGCTTACGGACATTGTCAAGCTACGAATAGACCACCGCTGCTGGCTGAACAGTGCACAGTGTCACATGTTGATGAACAGATGATAATGTTAGGGGGCTTACACATTTAGAAAGACTGAAAACAGTTAAAACAAGGATGCGATTTCAGGTCTGCGCATACAATGCTGCATACAGTAATGCTAGGGGGCATACCCGTCTTCGATATGTGCATGTTAGTTGCTCCATTTGCGTCCGAGGTCAGCAGAGTTTTTTTACTAGCCTGAGGTGGAAATGATGGTCGGGTAACCTGTTGCAGTGTGTGTTTTGAAAACTTTTTTGCTATTCAATTTGTGCGTAACACTCTTTTTCATTTCCGAAAAAGGTGATAGCCCCCTAATGTTATTATTATACATGCACCTGATTCCCCAGGACTGCAACTGGTGACCTTTTCCTTAACAGTGAAATGTACCACTCAGCCACATAGGCTAGGTGCATGCTGCCATGCTCACATTCCTTCCCTTTTGTTTGTTTTTTCCTTTTTTTTTTATAGTGCAGGGGCCATGCAAATCTTCTCTGTATTGTTCCAATTTTAATGGATGCCCCAAAGGACTCCTGCTCACATTCTTTTCCTCATATGCTTTCCGTTGTTTTGTCCTTGTTTTCACTTTTCTTGGCTTGTCCTTGTTTTCACTTTTCTCGGCTTGTCCTTAGTAATACTTGGCTGCTGTCTGTGTTGTTCTCCTTTAATCCACAGGTTTGAGATCCACCACCCTTGCCATCTCTCTTGCTTAGTGCGTCGTCGACTGCAATACCAGGAGAGAAGAACAGGTTGAAGCCCTTTTACACGTCGACTCAAAACCGAGCAACTGGGAAATGAGGCTGGTGGATTCATTCGGAAGGTTGCACTAGAAAGTTTCGCGAAAAGAGGGAAGTGCATGTTGATCAAGGCATAAAGTAGTGGCTTCGGGTATTTTGCAGTCACTGTGGGAAAAGTTCACAAACAGGGGAAACCACACGAAAGGGGGATGCATTGGGAGTTTGGAAGAAAGGGGTTTAAGGGGACCAACTGGGGCTAAGGACGCGGGAGCCAACCACGCGATTCGTGTTCAACTTGGTCTTCACACTTGGGTCCCGGATATCCTTGCATGATACGAAACACATACAGCAGGGTGGGGCAAGGCGCATGATGGCAGGAGACGACCAGGTATTAATGGGTTTCCAGTCCATGATGGCTCTCGGTCATCAACATCAGCAGCGGCTCCAGAGATCGAAGTTAGTTGTAGTTCTGATGGTATTAATAATGGCATCGGTGGTGGGCTCTGCAGAGGGAGGAACTTGGCGAGGGTCTGATGGAGGGGGTATCGCTCGTCAATATCATGAAAAAACCACCACAAATGCAATCCGCAGTGAGAAAAGACAAGTCTCCCAAGAAATTCAAAACCAATCTGTGATGGATGGGCGGGGGGATAACGATGTGTGGGACTTTCCCAGGATCCTTCACGAAGCACAAAGTGGTGCTGAAGTGGTGCTTCCAGGTTCCCTACATGAGGTTCGTCTAATGCAGCGCCCTGTGGAGCCTAAGGAGTCCAAGATACCGAAGCCTGAGCTCCAAAATAACAAGGTTGCAAGTGCAAGTGAAGAGTCCCCGCCTGTAGAAGTGCCTCCAGAAGCGTCTAGTAAGCCTCCTCAGGACGGGAAGCCTGTAGAAGAGCCCCCTCAAGAGTCTCAGCCTGTAGAAGAGCCTCAGCCTGTAGAAGAGCCTCCTAAAGAGTCTCAGCCTGTAGACGAGCCTCCTCAAGAGTCTCAGCCTGTAGAAGAGTCCCCACAAGAGTCTCAGTCTGCAGAATCGCAGCCCGCAGTGGAGTCTCTGCCATTGGACTCTCTGCCGTCAGAATCTCTGCCCGCAGTGGAGTCTCTGCCATCATTATCTCAGCCAGCAGAGGAGTCTCTGCCACAAGAACCCGAGGACTCAGATGATAATGGGGGGTCTTCAGACCAGCACAAGCCTCCTAGGCCCAGGCCTCCAAAGTCCAAGCCTCCCACGAACAGGCCTCCCAAATCTGAGCCTCCCAAATCCGAGCCTTCCACCCCTGAACCTCCTGTCATTGAGTCTAATCCTCCTGAGTCCAAGCCCCACACTCCCAAGCCTCCCATGTCTGAGCCACCGAACTCCAAGCCACCGAAGTCAGAGCCACCCACATCTGGCACTCCTGCGTCAAAGCCTCCCAAATCGGAGCCTCCCAAATCGGAGCCTCCCAAATCGGAGCCCCCCGCACCCAAGCCTCCTGCGTCCAAACCGCCAAAGTCTCAGCCGCCAAAGTCTCAGCCGCCAAAGTCACAGCCATCAGAAAGCAAGCCTCCAACCCCCCCCAGCCCTGGGAAACCACCTTCTCCAAGTCCCACCAACTCATCCTTGGTCATTACCTCCGGCTGCACAGCTCCGGATCTTGAAGTGCCAGTCACAGAGGACTGTACCACAGTGGAGGGCAAAAAAGTAGTTGCATATCTCAATGAGCTGCGAGTGGCCGACGGTCTCCCTCCCTTCCAGACCTCGGTCCTTCTCCAGTCTGCTGTACGTATCGAGCTTCTCGTACTCGTTGGTTGTGATGTCTGCGACAACAGAGCTTCCACTTGCATCGCGAGATGCAATTCAAAAGTAACAAAACAACGCCCTGTTTGTCGTGACACTTGTGCCCACGAGTATGAGCTGTGCAGGCAAACTGAGTGTTCCCCGCTTCCATTTTTGGATTGCTGCACTTGCTCTACTCCTGGACCAACACAACCCGCAGTTGGGCGGCAGGGCGTAGCACCATCTGACCGTCGTTTCTGTTCTCGTGTTGAGGCCAGGCTGCCCTCATCTAGTGTCAGAAACACTGGAAATGTGTTTAGCCGCAACAGGACTGTGTTCGAAAGGAGAAACCGCTGTGCGGCCTGTGCGACTGCTAGTAACCGCAGCCCCATAGCTGGCCGAAGTTTCATTACGCTCTGCAGATTTTGCCGAAGATGTTAAAAAAGCCCACTGCACCTCCACAATAAGTTGTTCTGCTTCTTGAAGTTCACTCATTTATGCAGAAGTCATCACATCTCATTTTCCATCGGTGACAGAGAAGCCGGTGTGCTCCACTTACTAACAATCCCGCAAAAGTCATTGCATACGCATCCGCTTTCATTTGCATGGATCATGTACAGCAGTGCATGTTCCTTCATGCCGTCTGAATTCCTGGAGCAATATCCACATCCGTTTTCCTGCCATAAGCTGCATGGGACGTAAATCTACTCGATTGGACTCAAAGTGGTGAGGGATCATGTCACTCTTTCGCAAGCACTCCGCAATCCTCAGCAGAAAGAAAACTCTCTCTCTCTCTCTCTCTCTCTCTCTCTCTCTCTCTCTCTCTCTCTCTCTCTCTCTCTCTCTCTCTCTCTCTCTCTCTCTCTC